AACTTCTCTCTCCCCCCGTCTTACCCATGAGAAAACTAAAGGCAAAGAACCTGCCCAAAATCACACACCATTAAATGGCAAAGTCTGAACTTGAGCCCGGGTCTTGCTGTATGGGTGCTCTTTACTGCTGTTCTGTATTTCAAGGGAGGTGGAGGTGGGAAGGGCAAAATGACAGTTCTTTCCTTAATACAGTGACACCAGTTAAAAGCCAGGAAAGAACCACGGCTGGTTCCTTCTCCCAGGGTTACAACCAGGCCCTGTGCACACGTACATGTGCATGTATGCACGCACATACACGTCAGACCTTTGCTAGTTGCTAATGTCTCCCAGGCCATCTGTGGATTTTTCTTAAAAGTCACCCAACAGGCCTCAGGGAAAGTAGGGCTTGGTCTGAAATCTTTTGTATTTCTCACTTTTTAAACAGCGGAAAATCCATTTGGCCCAGAGAAACGAATAGTAAAAGGAGTTCTAACTACCTCAAGCCAGTAAAATGTAATGGAAAAAAAGGCAAGAATATGACTGGACTTTATTTTCCTTTCTCTCGGCACATCCTGTCTTTAATCTGAAAGGTAAATAAGCCTTGCCCAACATACCAACTCTTTTCAGGTGAAATTATCTAGGTTACAGAAACATACAAAACTGTGTTTTCAATATTCCTTAGGTCATGGCTGTCAGAAATAGTATCCAAAATAAATCAGAGGCAAATATTGCCCACAGGACTGCAAATCCACAGATCTCACTAGTTGGATAACCGATTTTTGTGAACTTTTTTTCTTTCAGAATAAAAATTGTCTAACATTATCTGAAAGCTGCAAAGGGCAGAAAAGAAAAGTTTGAATATTTATATTTAGATTATTTGAATGAGAAGAGACAGACAGAGACTTTTTGCTAACCTTGAGATGTTTTAACAACTTCAGGACACAAATGATCATGCAATACCTCTTTTTGCACCCCCAAAATACCAGCTTTTTTGGCTGTATAACTTACCAAATGATCTACGACTTTGCTTGTGAATAGTAAGAGCTATACCCATTTTTGTCTTGTACATTCAATGCTTTCTACCACTATATTTTCTTCTGCACAATCAGGCTGAGCAGATAGTCTAACAGAAATCCTCTTTAAAAATAAAATATCCTCTAACAAGAAATTAGATAAACTGATGGTTTATTTGAAGCAATATTCATCACATTCCTTTCTCTGGACATCATTTAAATCAAGAATTACCATCATGAAGTAAAGTAACCTTCAAAACATCAGTTATGGGCAAATCAGTTATTCTACTTAAAAAGGTGGCAATATCAAATGGAAATGTTCCAGCAGAAGTAAAGAAGGGTCCCCCAGAATTCCTCTGAAGTACCAGATTTCAGTTTCCCGAAGGCCAATTTGTATTCCATCCCCCTAAGAGTAAGAGGGCATGGCAGGTTCCAGCCAGCGTGACCACAGATCATTTCATTCATGGATCACCAGAGCTGGTGGTCCAAAGCATATGCGTGGAATGCGAGGCAGCGATTTAAAGGCCAGGGAGTGGGTAACATTCAGTTGTCAAGTTGGATCTCCTTGTCAGGCCATTCTACACTCCCAGAGTACACCATACCCCACATTTGCGGGATTGTGAAGGGCCTCAGCACATTTGTTTTGCAAAAGACAAATCAGAGGCCCATCACACAGCTGAGCTGAGCAGAACTACAACAGGAGCATAGTAACCTTGGAAACCAGAAAACGTAAAGCTCCCAGCAAAATGGCCGGGATACCCCAGAGAGAACTGAACAGAGATGGGATGTATTAAACACTTCATCCAGTTCATAGCACCCCAGTCTAGCAGAAGGGCCATTACATTTGAGCAACGGACTAGAGCAGGGATAGGGGCTAGGGAGTTCTTAACAAAGCCAGTAAAACCATCTTGAAATACCTAGGCATGAGAAGTTTTTCCCAGTCAGTAATTGGGAGAAGTCACCAAATCCTATTTTAAAATGGAAACTAGGAATTCTGGCATATCAAGAACTACCACAAATTTCTTTCCCACCTTGAAAACACAAAAGATATTTGACATCCTTAATTTGAGCTGGGAGTATTACACATATTTTACAGCTTTTTTTTTAAAGAAGAAATCAATTTCTAACCAAAAAGAAAGTAAAATTTCAGTTGCATTTCATTCTAACTGCGAATGTGTAGACACAAGTACAGTCACACAATCATAGTTTATCATTTCAGTGAGTCACAGATAGGAGCAGAGTAACAGCAGCCCAGGGAATGTTCATGTTTATAAGCACAAAAAGTTCCAAAATTGGAGAGGTACCAAAAATATCGAGCCATGTGACCCTCTGCTTTTGACTGTACCCTAACAATGAGGAAGTCTGAATCTAGATGACAGAATAATGGTATTGTACTAACTCCTACCCTCAGATTGCTAAAGGAGAAATAAGAAGCAGTTGCGTTGTTTATAACAAGGAACTGAAATCTATAGAAACGGTAATGCGTCAATGTTAACTCCGGATGAATCTGAACTAAACCTTCGCTCAAATGTTCTTTTCCCAACATGGATGTGCAAACTTGAATTCTGCACTACGAAATCTCAGAGGAAAAAAAAAATTCTGAGTCCTGTGATTTGCTTTTAAACACTAGTAACCCTCAGAGAAAAATTTCCATCCTAGTTTTCATCAAATGTTGCTTCTGACTCATTTGTTTCAAGGATTAGCAAAGATCAGGGACATTTATGAGAAAGACAGAGAAATAATCATTTGTTGAGGACAGTATTCAGAAACTGAGCCAGACCAAAGGAAACCAAGGTTGTTCTGAAATGACAAGGCCATTGCCTCACTTCCTATAAAGCAACACTTGATGGCAAGATGAGGGAGAAGAAGAAACATAAAGATGCCTCTCAGTGAACCCCATTCCTGACCACCCAAGAAAACTGCCATGTCCTCTGGGTCCCCCGACTCCCTTTGCCAGACTCTCCTTTGTCCCTTGAAACTGTATTACCCAGTATGCCATAACTTAACTATTATCTACAGCTGTGTCCTTTGTGGAATTTTCTGTGATAAATTATAAGCTCCATAGAGCAAAGATATTTTCAGGGTTTTGTTACTTTAGCCGATTGTTGTAGTCAGCGATTGTGCAGAGAACAATTAGAATCAGGACACAGAATTTATAATATTATTTTATGACGGTCGGCCAGAGTTAAAACACAAGAAAGTGCAGGAAATCTGTCCACAACACTAAAGACCTGGAATATTCAGCCAAGGACCTGGATTCCACAGCAATGTCCTGCATGAGTCCAGATGAAAACCTAGAGCCCACGACAGTGCCTCCCACGAGTCCAACTGGAGGTCTAGAGCCCAAAAGAAGGACTCACGCCAGTCTCTTTTATGGATCCATGTTGGGAAGGCCCAAAGGTCAGTGGTGGAAGCCAGAGAGTCTGTGCCAGGAGCTGTGCTGATAGGCTGAGGGTTCTACACTGGAGCCGAGAAGTCACACTCATAATAAAGAGCCAGGGCTGTCCTGAAAAGTATCACAGCCATCCTTAGTGACACAGAGGTTCTGAGCTCCTCTGACAATAAGAACAGCCAAGTACATGCCAGAAAGCTAGCGTGACAAGTTTGTCCTGGAGATTAAGCAGCACACCTCGGGGGCTGGGGATTTAGCTCAGCGGCATAAGCGCCTGCCTTGCAAGCAGGCAGTCGTGAGTTCGATCCCTGGTACCGATAAAAAGACAAAAAAAAAAAAAAAAAAAAAAAAAAGCAGCACACCTCTTCCCCTCCAGAGCCAGGAAGCGATGCTCAATGTAAGGACCAGAGATCCCCCAAAGTGAACTACAACCACTCTCACCAACAAGGTCCTAAACTTCCTCCAATGACAAAGGTCAAACTCATACTGGGGATGCTCATGACGAGCTCCTCCAGGAAAACCAATGGCTCAAACAGCAACACTTAGAGAACCCCACAATGCCTACCTTCTCCTTCTCCATGTCTCTATGCTGGCAACTTTCCTCAGGTGGAACATCTATGCTCAGCACCATGCTGATTGAATTCAGCTGGTGTTAAGTTGACCGCTAGTTTTTAATCCATAAACACTGATAAATCCTGGTGCCTGCAACATGGTTGCTGCTCAGCAAGTGTATACTGAAGGAGCAGACAATACTACCCCTTGCCATCTCTAAGTCCTATAGGAATTCATCAGCCTGTCTTCTAATATTCATATCTTGGACACCAACCTTCAAGGAAACTCATAATAAGGGTCACAGGCCTAACACCAGGCATCACACTAAAAGAGACAAGTTCACCCCAGGAGATCTATGATCTGTGAGGCTCTTTTTTTTTTTCCACTTTCTATGTTTTATTAGTATGTGAAGTTCTTTTTATCACATGGAACAAAAAGCATTCACCATATTGTGGAAATTGTGCAAAAAGAGAATTGACAAACAGAAACAACTGTATATTGTGTGCTTCATAGGAGATCAGTAGGAATAGGGAAGAAAATCCAGTAGTTTCATGACTCAAAAATAGAAAGGTTCTTAGACATGGTAGTTAACTAAAACATTAAATGCTCTGGATTTTACTCTTTAGCTAGAACCTTAAAAATGAAAGGTGCAAGTCAGGCATGATGGCACATGCCTATAATCCCAGCACCTGGGAGGCTGAGGCAGGAAGATCATTGTAAGTTTGAGACCAGCCTGGGCTACAAAGTGAGCTCAAGGCCAGCCTGAACTGCATAGTGAGACCCTGTCTCAAAAAGACAAAAACAAACAAACAAAACTAGAAAGGTGCTATTTACTCTCTCAATAATTAAATTTCATATATATATTATACTAACTGCAGAACCAGTCAACGTTGGATTTGCTATTCAAGATGCTATTTGAAAGTGATCCAAAAATAGGACTGATTTCAAACCAGGATCACATTGCAGCAAACCTTGGCTTCTCAATCAGCCATAGACAAGTATCCTGTGCTTTCACAATTTTCGCTTTGTACTTTTTCATAATGAATGCATCAAGGAAAACTTACAGCTGTGCAAAAGATGCATTGGCATTCCTGGAGTGTGGTCATCTTGTCCAGAGACTGTTCACACAAGCAGAGTTTGCAAGTGATGAGGGGGGCAGGAGCCAGGTCTCCAGGTGTTGGGTTTTCAGTCATGGTGAGACAGTAGAGGCCGCCAACAGAGCCCATCAGCCTGTCTTCAGCCTTCCTCAGTCTCGACCCCTACAGAAAAGTCCAAGGCAGAAAACATGCAGTTATAGTTTGACTAACACATCTGGGAAATAGCTGAGCAAATCAACACTGGCAAAGATTTTAAAAGTACAGCTGATGCATTTCTGAGACCCATGAGCTGGAGAGTTTGCTGTCTTGGCAAAGTATTCCTGCAGTCCTGAAATTTATGCTGACTTCACCTCATGGTCCTGATTTATATCACCTGGGCTGTGGGAATTTTAAAAACACTACAGGTAGGGGACAGGAGAGATTGGTCAAGGGTATAGTTTCAATTGGACAGGAAGAATGAATTTGGGAGAGCATGGTGATGATAGCTGTGACAATATATACTTGAAAACTACTGAGGGCAGATTTTAAAAATTCTCATCACAAAAAATAAAAGTATGTAAAGTGATATGTTAATTAGCTTTATTAACTCACTTTACATGTATACACAGAATATCAAAATACCACATAGGATACTATAAACAATTTTTATTTATCAATTATATCTCAATAAAGTTGGCAGCGAGTGGAAGGAATCACAACTATAAACAAACACCATTTACAAGTTGTATCACTACCAACCAATTTAACAAATCCAAAAATACATAAAAAAATATGGTGGCACTCAAAAAGTTGCAAAAAGTTACCATATAATCCAATAATTCTACTTCTGGATATGTGTGCTGAACTGAAAAGTGAGGTCTCAAGGAGATATTTGTATATCTGTGTTCATGACAGCCAAAAGGTAAAAGCAACCCCAGTAGATGAATAAACAAAATGTAGTCTTTGCATGCCATGAAATACTATTTAGCTTTAAAAAGAAATCAAATTCTGACACAGGCTATAACCTGGATGAACCTTGAAAACATTGTGATTAGCAAAAGAAATCAGAGAGGAAAGGACAGTTGCTAGGCTGGGCATGAAGGTGTAATCCCAGCACTCAGGAGGCTGAGGCAGGAGGATTGCCATGAGTTGAAGGCCAGTCTGGACTACAAAGTGAGACTCTGTCTAAAAAAGAAAGGAAAGGAAAAAGAAAGTAAAGGACAACTGCTAAATTATTCCACTCACGTGCAGTACTTAGAGCTGTCAAAGTTATAGAAAGGAAAAGTAGGTCAGAAGAGGTTACCAGGGCAGGAGGACACGGGAAGTTATTGTTTAATAGATACAAAGTTTCTGCTTTGGATGATGAAAAAGGCTGTAAATGAATACAGTTGATAGCCACACAGCTATCAATATATAGAATGTCACTGAATTGTGCAGTTACAATGGTTGAAACAGAGTCTGGCACGGTGGGGCACACCTATAACCCCAGCACTCTGGGAGGCTGAGGCAAGAGGGTCACAAGTTCAAGCCCAACGTGGGCTACTTAGCAAAAATCTCACCGAATTTTTAAAATGAATGAATGAATGAAGGCTGGGAATATATGTGAATGTGAAAGCCTTGAGTTCAATCCCCAGAACCACAAACATAAAAGAGCTTGAAATGATGACTTCTATGTTACCTATTTTACTCCCAATTTAAAAAATTAGAATGTAATTGTTCCTTGCACACCCTCACATATATTTCACTTAATCTTTTGCAACTGTGATTATTTTAATTTTGTAGATTAATTGAGGTCTTGATTAAGTCATCTGCCAAAGTTCCCAGGGCTTGTACAAAGCAAAGCATAACACAAATCTGTACCTTCCGAGGCCAAGCCCAGGGCCTGATCTGTCCCCCTTCTCAAGTGGGTGTCCTAAGGAGTGCCAAAGGGGGAAGAGAAAACAAATAGATGAAGTTCCCAACTACAACTATCCTCAAGGCTCTTGAATTTACACAGAAATGAAATTTGTCTTTACACATGGTGTAACTATAGGAAAAGATATCTTTGTGGTATAAAATAAAAATTACAACCAAAGTCCTTCCACTGGATTGTTTTTAATTCAAAAATCTCTAAAAAAGGTAAAATGACTGTGGAAATAGTCTTCGTGTATATACGTGTTTTATAATCATGTTTCATATCACATGATGAAATGTCATGTTCTGATTAAATAAAAATAACATTCAGAGTTTTTTACTGGTCTAAAAGAATGCAGACAAATCTAATAAGTTCTGCCAGTGACAGAATTACAAATACCTCTCCCCCTGCAAGACCTAGTCTCTCTTCCTACCACTTTGGCAAAATAAATCACCAAGTATACGGCCCTTGCTTGATACCAAGCCCCACAAAGGCTTAAATCTCAACACAGTCATGCATGCTTAACAGCAGGTGTGTTCTGAGAGGCATGCTGTCAGGTGATTTCATCACGTGAACATCACACAGAACACTTCCACAAACTTGGACAGTGGCCCCTCCACACCTACCCTACTGTATGACCTGCTACTCCAGGGCTGTAATGAATAAAGCAAAGATTACATCAAGAACAGAAGAAAAAAAAGGAACCAAGAGACGTGGTAAACACAAGATGTAGAAAGCTGCTAACATAGCAGACTGTTTTAGAATAAACTTTTTTAATCAGTGGAAGCAGTATAATCTAAGATAGCAATAAATAACAAACCATTATCATGGTTGCTTGCCATTATTATCAGTTATCGTGTACTGTAAATAATTGTGTATGCTATGTTTTTATATGACAGCAGTATAGTAGGTTTATTTACCCCAGCATCACACAAACAGGTGACAATGTGGCTAGCTGCATTCTGAGAGCTGTGTCATCACTAGGCAGTAGAAATTTTTATCTCCATTATAATCTCCTGGGACTGCCAGTCTACATGTGGTCCCTCACTGGTCAAAATGTTGCAATGATAGGGGTGAGTAATATACAGATAGGAAAGTACCAAAACAAGGGGAAAATAAATTGGATTAGACAGAAAGACAAAAATTGATGAAATTTTTCCTCGTCAATTTGCCAACATCAAACCAGAAAGAATTAATGGTTACTAACTCTAGTAACCTGACATATTTGAGATTTTTCACCTTCTACCTGAATAGAAATTAAAGACTTTTGTTTCACAAGTAAATTAAATAGGAAGCTAACCAATGACCAGCTTCCAATGGGCAAGACTAATCTTGGCAAATACCCAACTAGTTTCAAAACACAGGATTCTTTCTCCGTTAACTATTGCAGATCTATCAAAAGCAAATTAAACTTGTATATCAAATTCAGAATTTTGACATTTTTAAAAACTTTGTTTAGAGTAAAGATAGGGGTAAAAATTGATAATTACCTCTTGATACCTGATAATTTATGCTTTGACAGTGATCATCGATGTTTTTCTCCAAGACTCTGTTACAGCCCCCATCTCCCTCTCGATCTCCAATCTCCTCTTTCTCAACCCTGTTTATGCTACACATTCTGGATGATCTTTCCCTCAGAAAAAGAGTTGTCCAGTGAACAACAGGAAAAATCATAACCAGTAAATGCTATGTGGCTGTGGATAATGGGAAATGATACAGGCCAGACTACTCCACACCCAAAATGTCAGTTACGAATAAGAGCTGTGAAAGGAAGCTGCTGTAGAGATCCAGTCCCTGACCAGGGGTATAGCTCAGCAGCACAGTGCCTGCCTGGCAAGCACAAGGTCCTGAGTTCAATTCCCAGTACAAAAAAAAAAAAAAAAAAAAAAGATCCAATCCTACACTTCCAACTATTCTCATAATCTCATCTTATATTATTTTTAGGAGACATTAAACAGGATAAATTTTTAACATAATCTTGAAAAAACAAAGATATCATTGGACACTTCTTACAAAGTATCTGTTAGGAGTGAGTGTAGTGTTCTTTTAAAGGCAGAACTAGCAATTGTGTTAATCAAAGCTGACTGAAATGTAGCTACATCTATGGTTATATAAATAAGTTTTTATTCCTTGGTTTTTGAGTTACATGCTTATAGGCTATGTCAAAATTATAAAAATTAAAATATATTTTTATACTTTTTAAAATTGACTTTCTTTGTCCTTAGGTTTGAACCCAAGGCTTCACATATGCTAAGCACATACTCTACCAGTGATCTACACCCACAGCCCCTAAAAATCTTTTTATGACATGAAAAGTAGCACACCCATTTTGTTTTTGTCTTCGATTAGAGAAAAAAAAAAAAAGAATTCCAATCATTCCAATAGACGATTCTTGTGACCCAGGGACACACAGGAAAGGAGTAACATATTTCAGCTCTTTGAGACGTGAACAATCTGAAATGATTCTTCAAAAAGAAGTCATTAATTTTCTTGTATACAATAATACCAATTCCTTAAAATAATGGCTTTCAAATGTTCCTCAAGCAATAGAATTTTATAAAAACAAAAATCTTTACTAAATCACCGTAGTACATTAGTGATCAAGGCAGGTTAGTGCTGGTTCCTCTGATGAGTCCCGGGTCCCCCCTCCAACCACCCGAGCACTGGCACAAAACCCAAGTCTCCTCCACGCACCCTGAAAACCAGCACTCTGAGTTTTCACTTGCAAAAATCAACAATCGAAGTTTAAAAGAATGACGGATACATAGGGAGCATTTCACTTAAAAAAAGAATATTAAACAAGATAGCTTCTCATCATGGATTTATTGAAACATTGAGCCCTTCAACCACTAAACAGAAGAATCCTGAAGTCCTCTCCTAAAATTGCCATACTTGAGATCTTGTAAATGGCTCCAGGGTTTCTGATAGTTTATTCATGTGTGCCTTAAGACTCACCAGTCTCAACCCCATGAAACCATCAATAACACATCCTGCCACCTGAACTATCTAATGAATGGCTCGCAGCTCAGAGAGCCCACACTGAGCGCACATTCCAAGCTCCTCCTTCCTTCTCATCCCACTGCAACTACACAAGCGACCCAGCCCCATTCCTCTCCAGCTTTCTAGAAAACTCTTCTTTCCAAACAGATGTCAACTCACTCTGCCTGGCTTCTTGGCCCGCTCGGCTTGCTCTGCCTCACACCTCATGCTTTTATCTAAGATATAAAAGCAACTTGAATGGATCCACCCTACCGCTTGTTTTCTTAAAGATAACAATTAGAATTACTTT